TGGGAAAGAGAAGTTGCTGACCCTGTTAAATGTTTTTCATGTTTCACGCACAATAGCTGATAAAGCAGAGATCTGGGCGTGGTGCTCAAATACTACTCCCAACTTAAAGCTGTACCTTATATGTTGCAATGATGGTTTGAGCCGACCTCAAAATGGTGGAACGCTGATAATTTAAGCAATCTGCCAGGTCTTTTCTGTCCTTTGAAAAGAGAACCCCGACGTCTCTTTGAAGTTCCAATTTCTTGACGGTGAGAAGCGTTTTCAGTTTTTCTCTTGAGTGGTAAAAGGTGTTTGCGTAGTGATCTATGAATAATCCATCGACTTTCTTGGACTGCACATCTTTAATAGCGTCTTCGATACTGTTGCGCACTAGATACAGTATGAAAATATATCAAATTATTAACACAAAAGCCATACTACCGACCGTTGTACACTGGAGAGTATGGGCAGAACGACCTAACGTACCAGTCGGTTTATTACACTCAACTGACTTACAAGGCTTTAGCTGATGACCTTTACATAGATTGTTCAGACGTCGTTCTTAAGGCTAACGGCTTACAAGGAAGATCAGTAGACTCTAATTCCTAAATTAGGCAATTAATTGTAGCAAATGGATTGATTGAATATGACGGTATATACTCCATCGAAGTATCCAAGACATGAAACCCTTGTCATGTCCGTGGTTGATGGGCCATGCTTTGTAACGGGTTGTTTGTCCAATTGGTTTTGCTTACACTCTGGTTTTAGAACCACTAATAGCACCCAGTGCTTATAGGATTGTACATATATACCTATTGGTTCAGCCTCCTCCTGTAGTGCATGTTGGTACTCTGTCCCATTTCCTATAACTGCAACCTAATGAAAAGTTTTTTTTCTTTTTATCAGACATAGTATAGTTTTCTACAACACAGTTGCATAATTATAATGATAACTTTTTGGAACGTTTTTAAAGAGGACGCAGGAGAAGAATAAGAGGAATACGAGCAAGAACAGAACAGGGTTGAGAATTATCCAAGAACAAGAAAAGGAAGAGGAAACTCAAAACATCGTTAGACGTGTCTTCACATGTGATGACACTTTTTTGGTGATCTGCAATCTGCTTGGGGATGCATGGTGTACGTTGCACAGCGCCAGCCTTTTGTATCGCTGATTCATCCATAATATGCCACGTTTTTTTTTCTTTCATCGTTTAGCAATCTATCAGCCTCACTTTCTTATTAGCAAAGCTACTTGGTTCGGTTTCCAGGGAAAGAGCCGTCAGGGCTGAAGTGACGTTCGCTGTAAAGATTGCCATAACAATCAGGCCCACGAGAATCCAAACAATAGAGAATATCCGTGCAGGAAGAGATTTGGGAGATTTGTCACCATACCTGAGACGAAAGAGATCATTATCACCTTAAATCTGCTTGCACACTGATCATGATAGAACATCCAAAATTAGATGGCTGGACCATGCTGAATTGGCTCGAAATAAACATTGGACATCAACGAGGGAGGCTTCTCTGGTCCACTGTTTTGAGGTCCAATTAAAATTTGTAGTGTCTGTAAGATCCAAGTGTAACATTTTTTCTATTATTCGTTCTTGCGTGTCCATTAAACTTCTTTTCGTTAAAGTCCTTTTTTTTCTGGCGTTTAAATCTTCACGTATTTTTCAAAATTCATTCATTTTGGTCCGGTTTTTGACAATTCGCAGTCCGCTTTACAGCAGTTTTTTCTGAAACAATGTAAGTGCTTCAAAGTCCTCGTTTTGTAGTTTTGTTAACTAAACCTTAGTCGCAACTTGTAACTTTTTTGCTTTTTTACCGTTCTAGTTTACTGTTTGTATGGTACCAAGCACGTCGCTACAATAAAAATTTGTTTTGTGGTGTTGTTATTAAAGGCCAGGAGACTTACACGCCTATTGCAGTTTCAGTGTCTATAAATTTAAATAAAATCTCCAAAATTCATTAGGTGTTTGACAACATTTTTTGCAAAGCTAGTTATGTAACTAAAGAGGTTTACCCTACTGTGGTCATCGAAATAAAAGACCACCAAAATCCATCCCATGAGCCTTTGATGAATGAACGGGGAAACTCTTCACTATTCCAGTTAGTATCCTGAAAAAAGTGAAGAAACAATTCTTAGTAAACAAGAAAATAGGTGTTATATTATTAATGAATAAATAAATACGATCAAATTTCTCAATGTGTATCCCCAAACGGTTGCTTACCCGCTGCAAGATGTGCCGGTCGCTGTTGTTGATAAAGAGGTAGGAAGTGAATGATTTCAAAATATATCTTTTTTGCCGTGACACTTCCTAACCGTCTCTTAAGGACACAAAATAGTGCTCCTAAGATCAAATAATCCAAACTGAAATGCTTACTCCATACTCCACACTTTCGACAATGTTTTTCTAAGTGTAGCATTTTAGTTCTTAACTATACGAAGAACGCTTGTCACATTTTATAGTTATGAACCGGGTATAGTTATTAATATTTATAATTATGAACTGCGCAGGTGGCCTAGCTCCCCGACGAGTACCCTCTAGTTAAGTCAGACAGTCTGTGGTTGATTTATTTTTGTCCTTCAATCATGATAATTGTTTCCCACCTTTCGCAGATAAAATGGGTTGTTGACGTTGAAAGATCACGTAAATCAATTTATTAAACAGTAAAAAAGTAGTGCATATAGTTAGAAAATACCCCTTTGGGCGCTAGAGAATCTTTGGCGACACAAACTCAAACTTACCAAAGCCCACATAACAACTCCTGAAATGGCTGTCAGGACCAGAGTAACAGCTAGCAGTGGCCAAGACTTCAGAACGGCATCCAAAACATAGCTGATCTTGTTGTTCCCTTCTTCAGTGGTAATGTAGTCTGTTCCTGGATAATCAACAACTTTGAAAAATGGGAACTCGCTGTAGTGTCTGTCCCCTTTTGGCTCAAATATAGGAGCTGCAACGTGGACTTTGTTTTGCTTCAGAAGTGCGATCATTTCATATTCACTGTTAACTTGGCGGTCTTCTACTTGGTATTCGATGCCATGAAGAATACCGCATTCATACGTCATGTATCGTAAAAGTGTATCTCGGATCAGTCCCTGAGCGCCGCTATCTATAGATCCATTGGTGGGTCGAGCGACATACGGTGGTTTGGCAATCCAAGTTATTGTTAGATTTAGGTACCATTTGATCTTCGATTCGTCTTCCTCTGTAGAAGAGTTATCATTGGCTGACACAATAATGAAATTTGCAACGACAGCTCCGATGAAGACAGCTGAAAACACCTTAATCCAATCTTTCATTATCACCCTGATTGAAAAGAAAATTGTTTTCGTTGCATTATCGAAATATTTTATGGACAATTTAGTCTGAAATAGAAGCAAGCTTTCCAGGGAATGGTTGTATTAAACCTTCATAGTTTTTTATATTCTCGAATCTAGCAAAAAAAAGTGAATTGATAATCGTTAAAATTATTAGAGAGTTTAAGTGGCCCGCCTCGAGAAGTTCTTTACTCTTCATCAGCTTTTTAAGATGAAAACTTAAAGAAGACAATTCGACAAAAACAATTGTTCTGAGAGAGCATAATAACGCATAAATTCAGTAGGTAAAATACGTGTCTTGAGCACAATATTCACCAAGCAAAGTAAAACTGTAAATATCACTGGCATATGACTGCGCCCGTTGATCGAGAAGAAAAAAGAAACAAAAAGTATGATGACGAGAAAATTGTCGAAGTCAGTCGAATGCCGCAAGAGTTGATCAAATTCATACCGGGCGTACTCAACGTGTAAACTTACCCAAAATTAAAGTTGACTACTATTTTCAGAGTTAGAGTACGTCAAAGTTACTCCTTTAACTGCTACGTAGTGTGGACGTTGTCTATGTAACGCATTTGATCTATGAAATACCGCTAGGCCATCACGAACAAATGAATGTTACTGGAATCAACGCTACTGGATGTATAATCTTAACAACTAAAACGAAGAACCTACACATTAATTAAACATGAGAATTCGAACCACCTGTCGTTAATTTGTACCTCGACTGAGAAACAAAGCACAGAATACGTTAGGTTGTCACACAACCATCGTTATACCGTCAAATTTTTCAATTCAAACTGTATCTTGCATTGATTTCGATTAACTGACACTTTGGTGGAAACTTTCGTTTTCTCGCCTTTTAATAACAAAGTTAAATTTTGAATTAATTTAAAATTATCAATGCGCTTCTTTCCTCTCTTTAGATGCCACATAAAATTTCCCATTATATTGGCAGGATCAGATAAACAGCCTCAAGACACAGATTTACTTGACTCACTGTATTGATGATATCCATGCTGTTGTCATCAACTGGCAAAAGTAATAATATTTAGCCTAACGCATAATAACGGCAATATGGTTATTTATATATTTCATAGGTTTACTATTCTCACTTAGAAAAGTTGATAATTAGTAGATGTCGAGGTAAAATGAAGCAAGAACTGGCATGGATTCTAAGTAAAAAATTTCAGTCATCAATTCGGATGGCCAGTAGTTATTGGGGGAGATAGTTAATACTTAGTGAAAATTAAGACATTCTAACTATTCTTGGCCATCAATGTCTTTTATCGGAAATTGCCACTTAGTTAAAAATTCACACTATAAGGGTAGTTAAATATTCCCACTAATGTGTATTTCTATAGGGAAAGCAGTGTGTCTAATGAGTCCTCTGAATTCCTAAACATTATACATTGATCTGTTGTAGCTCCAAAGGCTAAATTTCAAATTTCATAATATTTTGACTGGAGAAAAAAAAATTCGATTTCTTTCACGAGAAGCCAATTAAAATGCAAATTTTGATGCATTCTACCCTTAGCACATTACTGGGAAAAAATGCTTCATTATACTGAGGAGACTTTGGCAAGTTAATTATGAGAAAGCTGGATATGAAGTATCATTAATTTAGTCACATTTTATTTTCCTTACCATGAAAAAAAGACGTATATTTTCAAGGAAGAATCAAAACAAAATGAAAACGACTTTGGTGAAAACTTAGCAAATATATTCATCATTTATCACGGTTTACACAATGAAATTGATAAAGTAAAGATGCCTTGCCTTCCAAGGTCATAGTACCTAAACAAGAGAGGATTTCTTGATCTAACAAACCAAATACAAACGCATACTTGACTATATTACAAAATTCCTCATATTCTTGATTAGCAGCTATCTTATGTAGTTGTTTTATGAGGATCCTTGCGGGGTAGGGGTGAGTGAGAGATGGTCGTTGAATTATGTCAGCGGACTCTAAATGAAACTTTCGACGACAATACCTGCGTCGAACCCCCCCCCCCCCCCTTTTTTTTCTCCTTAGCTGACTCAGGTTCAGAAGCTTCTTGTCATGATATGAGGAATTATAGGAAAAAGTCTGACACTGTAATCGACTTGCGGATATTAACTATGTTTAAAAAAATATATGTCATATGGAAATTCAGCATCAGCATTTTTGAGACGCTGACGGCGACCAAAAGGATGATGCAACCAGGTCTAGTGTCCATTCATATCAAATAGCCCAGAGCAAAGGCTTCATCCTAGCATTTTGGACTGAACAGTGCAGATAGAAGGATCTGTATTAGGCGCCTGGGAAAAGCAGTCTCAACTTCCAGCTGATGTCTACGTCTCAAAAAATGTCTGAACTAGCGTTTTCTATACATGCATGTATCGACATACCGCATGATGAAGATGACAGTCTTACTCAAGCAATTTAGAAGTTTTTCCTTTTTCTTTTTTCTACGTTTGCTCTTTTTTCCACACATATAGAAGATATAATTTTCTGACGAAGTATCCACCGCGTCACTTCTGACTAATCAAACTTTTTCCCACTAGAGCAGTAAGATATAAAATATTCACGTGAGTCCTTCACAAACTGTTATAGATAAGTGTCACGTGTAGTAATCCTAAGAGCAACTGATTAAGTTCAAGAGATTATAATCTCTTACGAAGTTGTACTTTTTTCTAGCAGTTTTAGACCTCCCTGCCTACAGGTTGCCAACCCCTTAACTGATTCCTTTACTGACTTGAACACATTAGTTTCGGTTTTCTTAATGATTACTCAGGAATTGTCCTACCCTCGGCAGTTTTACCCGAACTAAAGAAACGTCGTTGAATAAAATACACGAAATGTTACTAATATCTAAAGATAACCATTGAAATTGTACTAAAATAGAAGAAAAAGTCTGTTTAAATTGGCTGTCTGTCAAGAAAGATGACATTGCCCAACTCTAGTGCTAATAGTTAGTTATAATAAAGTGTTGTATCTTTCTTTTCCAGAAACGTAAAATGGCCTTTTCAAACATCAGCAGCCATTTTGGAGTTGACCTACTTAACTTGACGTACTAATCTTGATCTACTCCTCTGAGGACCTCTTAAAGCTGGTCATTCTTGGGGAGTAGTTCTGATCTGGGTCTTTTTTAACATAGCGTCCCTCAGACGGTACAAGAAGCTCATGCTTTTCATCTCCCTGTCCACCTTCTTCCATGTCTGCTTGGTCAGCGTTCTTCAGTTCATCACGTGACAGGTGTCCAACTATACCAGCGCCGATTGCATCCCCAAGGACATTTACAACAGTACGGAAGCGATCCCTTGAAAAGCAAACAATGAAGATCAAGAAATGAAACTCCGTTTGAAGCGAAATGGATGAATGAATAAATGAAATTCTGAATGTATGAAAGAATGAATAGATGGATGAAGTATCGAATAAATAAATGAATGAAGGAATGAAGAAAAAAGACGGGAGCGCTTTCAAGACCCTTCATATAAATATATACTGGATAAGTTAAAAATATGGAGCCCCTTAAACATTGAGGACGAACAAGAATTATGCGTAGAGTAAAATGGAACTCATAGTTTAAAATACTCTAATAAACGCTGATATCTCTGGTCTTACATGAACCAGTCCACTGCCCAAAGAAGAGCGACATCACTGGTGGGGAGATTAGCAGACTGTAACACAATCAGCATGGTAACCAGGCCTGCAGACGGAATTGCTGCTGCACCAACCGCCGCAGCCATAGATGTCAATCTAAATGATGGAAAAAAATGACAGAGACATAACTTACCAGCGCCCTTTTGCCTATTCGAAGCATTCATTTATCAAACAGAGACGAAACGCGAAACAGATGCATTAAAAATGAGAAAAAGATGAACGAAACGAGGCTGGATAGAGACGCTCTTCTCTTTTTTTCTTCCATTTTTCCCACTCGTACCATGACGTTTTTTCAAATAAGTTTTAAAATGCCTGGAAGAGGCTTGCCGCATGAAACAAAGGAGAACAGATCCCACTAACACACTCATTAGCTATAGAATGCATACAATTAAGATTGATGTAGGGTAGTAGCCAACGTCAGCGCGGCATGGCCGGCTTTACGGGCCCTCTACTAAAGTAAAGGCGCTGGAGCGGCGAAAACGAACGCAGAGCTCCTTTATTTAGTTCCGCTCAGCTGCCGAGTACTTCAAAGAGCGAACAAAATTGCCAGATACGCGACCAAAGAGGGAAATAAGGTAATCAGTTCTGATTTTTGAGGAGTTAAGCTATCACTTAACATACGGAATCTTCACTTTCAAATTTATGGCCGTGAACCAGCATGATGATTTACCAACTTACTAACGACATAATCTGTTCTTTGCAGACGACTACCATTTGGAAATCCACCTTAAATTGTTTTGCAAATGGATTTTTAATTTAAAATATTCCATCCACAGTACTTCTTTATCAGTTCTGATGATCAGCAGTTAGGATCCAGTTAGTATTAACCGCCGGGATTGGGGAAGTTTGGAGGATTTTGGGGGATCACATGGTTTTCATGACACAACCGTGACACAGCGTTTCATGGCTATCGCTCTGACGAAGGGCTAACGTTCGAAACGTTAGCTTTGAAACTCTTCACGGTGCCCAGTTTACATTATCAACTCAGTTAATATCACTAAATTACCCTGCTATTCTTGACTGAAACAGAGTCCGCTTTGGTTACACAAGAGTTTCTTAAATCAAGTTTTTTATGTAGAGCGTTTTTTTACAGGCACCCAATACACATTTTGGTGAGAGAAGATGTTTCTTTAGCCTCAGAGAGGCAATGTACTTACATAATAGTAATAACCTGTCCTGCCCCAAGGCTGATTCCGTGAAGCTGCGCGATCCAGAGAGCACAAACGCCTTCGTACAACGCGGTTCCGTCCATATTAACGGTGGCACCCAACGGTAGAACGAAGCGACTGATACGTTTGTCTACGTGATTGTTCTGCTCCACACATCTCATGGTGGTTGGCAAAGTGGCCGCGCTGAATTAAAGATGTGATAATTGGAAGTTTTTCAGAAAAGAAATAGGAAACGCCTCTTCTCGCACACATACAGTAATCTGTAATTTTGTTTGGAATACTGGCTTCAATTCACCTTCAGTAATACCGGGGATGAGGGTAGTTAACATGCCTATTTTCCTAAAACCGAGATTTAAGACAGGCTGTGCTCCCTTAACGACAACAGTCCAACGTCGGCAACTCTGATTCCAGGGTCTTTCCAATCAAAGTGATACCGACGACCTCGCCAACAAGATTTCTCTAAGTTCCGCCTTTCGGAAGCCGTAGACCTAACCATCGAACCCGACTCAGCAATATACGGGGCAAGTGGTAACAGAAGGAATCATTTCAGTCAGCTGAAAAGATTTCTGAGACGCCGCTTACAACAAACACGTATGACAATCTTGGTGTCGCTGGAATGGAAACGCACCCTATGTAATCGACCGACGCACAAGGGATTTACAACTTGACCCTTAACACCCTGACATCAATATGCATATTCTCCATATTGTTTTATATACATTTCCTATGGTGCGTGTAAGGAGAATCTGTTTGAAAATCAAACACTTCTTCAGTCTGTGATCATCTGCTTGAATCTCCTGACCTAAATGTTTGATTCAGGGGTGTTCTTGTAAGAAGAAATTAGATGTTCGTCATGCATGGTTCGAAGGGTTAAGAGCCCTCCAAAAAACACAGAAATTATTATGACACCAACCTGGAATCTGTACCGTACGCTGTAAATATGGCATCCGACATATTTTTGATGTAAATAATCGGGTTTTTCCGCGTGAAGATCAAATAAACCAGCGGCAAAATTATAAAGCCGTGGCAGAGAAGACCAGCGATGGCGGTACCCATAAGATACCCCAGCATTTTGAATGCCTGCCCAATATCACCCATGCCGGCCAGCTTAGCAGCTATCAAACTACATATTCCAATCGGAGAGAGCCTGGTGAAAAAAAGGTGACGATTAGCGTTGAAATTAAACAGCTTAAATGGGGTGGTGTTCGATTTTCCTGTTTGTTTTGGTCAAAATCCATCAAAAATTTTCAACCACCACGGATACCACTTATCACTTTCCTCAGCGAAATTCTGATAATGCTCATCATCCTTCTGGTTTACTGCTGTGGCTTTATGATTTTCAAGTTCTCGTGCAGTAATAAAAAATACAATTTTTTGGCCAGCCAATTTCTACTAGAATTTGACAAGTTTATTTATTTAATTCAATCAGAAGAAGAAACATCTTATCTTAATTTTAAGAAGTGTCAGGCCAAACTTAGTAGCATCTTTTTTACTCCTCGGAATTTGAATTCTCTCATGCTGTGTTTATCACTTCCTTGGTAACATGATGGACAAAACGCGAAGCGGCCATTTTGATAATCAGCAAACAATTATATTAAGATCTAAAATCCCGATACCGGCTTTTGAACAATTCTTGCTGGCATATCCTTCCTCTCCTCTTTCCCAGGCCCTTAGTGATCTACAACCTAGCATAGTCTTCTTTATTTTCATTAATTGCGACTCATTACTTTAGTCATTGCGATGAATATCTTACCACATGACTAATGATACCATTTCCATGACGATTTCGTTCAGCGACTCAATGAAGGCTCTCATGGGCAATCCACGCTCTCCAACGCGCCCCAACACGATACCGAACACAATAGAAAATACCACCAACCCAAGGACGTTCATATTTCGGGAAGCAATTTCGAGTCCCGCGGGAACCATCGATGATCCCGGAGCTAGTTCCTCTTCCTTCAGAACTGTGTAATTGTGAGTCCCGTTCCTAATTGTCTCGTTGTATTCTTTAACATCGGGTTTGACAGTCTTGTATTTGGTACGTTTCTGACAATAAAGATTAACCACAAAAAAAGAAAAGACTTGCTTAAAAAAATAAAGAACTCGAATTCAAAGACACAAGTCCTGGGGGGTGGAACTCGCCATGTTCATTAGACTTTACAGGGGTACCCTGCCAAATGGGTAAACTTTTTCAGGTCAAAGATGTACGAAAGGAAAGGGATTTCCCGAGTGAAGGTATAGAGTAGCTTTTAACAGTCTATAGGAAGGGGTTACACAAGAAATAAAATGAGTAAAAGCTACTCTGTTAAAAATTGAACAAAAAACCCAGAAACGTTTTAACCATCCTCCCTCTCTGGTAAGCCCCGCTCTCTAATATGAGCCTCCCCCCCTTCCATGTTTGGCTTCAAGTTTCTCCCTATTCCTCCAGCACCTCGAGAACAAAGACTATCTCGTTCTAAATTAGAGACTCTGCAGAATTAAAAAAAAAAAAAAAATGATTTTCGGTAGCTTTCATTTTTTTTGCCACCAAATCTACGGAATGTTCCAGCGGTTGAGGACTAATTTAGAAACCACTAACCTGTATGAAAGCTGCCTCCACAAGGTTCACCGGAAAGCAGCTCCTGTAATGCAATAATAAGGAATCAGAAATAAAATGAAGAGACAAAAGGCTCCTAGTCCAAGTTTTAAGATACTTTAGTTTCATTAAAGTTTATTATCGATAGCCTATCTTACGGAAGTCTGTTGTCCGAGACGTTTGCGTGAAGGCTGATCTCGATTTGAAGGTAGCCTTAATAATAATACGATGGTTTTCCGCAGGGAAATCAGTGTTGTCAAGGAGACCTCCACAAACAAGAGAATCGTTTTCCGAGACGTTTGCGTGAAGGCTGATCTCGATTTGAAGGTAGCCTTTATAATAATACGATGGTTTTCCGCAGGGAAATCAGTGTTGTCAAGGAGACCTCCACAAACAAGAGAATCGTTTTCCTTAGGCGAAGATGCTAGTGCGGCCGTTAAAAGTACACCCGGTAGAATCGACACATCCCAGACAACGCCGTGATCTTCCCTATCTGCTCCCTGATTTCTTCCTTTCAAAATACGAAAGTATGCGAACAGTGAAGCTATCTAGCCCAGTGGCTTTATGAGACCGAATATTCTTAAGGTCATTGTCAATTATCATCTTTCAATGTTTGGCCGAATAAAATAGCCCTCTCTGGGTTTGGGTAAATTTGCTGATATATATCCCCTTGGTATCGAAAGAAAAAAACTTTCTTAAAGACACAAATTTCCTTCCTGAGATCACATCGATAAATTGCGAGTTATTTGCCCAGACAGTGTAAAAGTGTAGGCCGTTTGCTATTCAAAACGCAACCGATCGGGAATCTTAAGATAAACTTGACACCCTTAGTAACAGTAGATGACGGGCGTGACAGAAAAAAAGACGGAAAAATGACGAAAAAGACGGAAATATACCAGAGAAAAAACTCGTGCCCGGCGAAATCAAGCCCCTTTTCTGACGCCGCATCATAACTGATTGGAATGGAATGGAATGTGACTGGGAAAAGTGATTTGGTGATAATTTACATGCATGGTCAGTCAGGAACTAACAATCATTCTACGCAAACATGAATTGAAATTATTGAACTCCATCACAGTCCCTGCCAGCAGAACCCCCGGTGTTGTAAAATTAGAATAATAAAAAACTGTAGACAGATAAGCTTATTCATTAAATTTTGTCAGGGGTCCTTGACCGAAAGATGAAACGTACATTCATTTTCATTATCCGTCATACTAAAGGTTGCTTAAAAGGCTTATCATTTTATATTACAATTACAATGCGTCGTAGAATAATATATGTATATATTTTTTTAATGTTTTATGTTTCATGTTTCTATTAATATGTTGACCCAACTGTACAAACATTGTCATCTCTGTAAATATTCATGTGAGTTAGAAACAATTTTACTTGACTTGACTTGAAAAGACCTCACGTTATGACGTCCATCTGAAGTGGAATATTCTTGAAACAGATGTAACATTGATGTCATGTTATTGTAGTCAACTGAATTTAGGCTGTCAACTAAGACAAATATATTTGCATTTTGTATCCCTTCACAGTGGTGGATATTGTTTTTCAAGCTAAACGGTTGTGTTAGTGATCTACCATTTCATGGAGTCTTGATGCACTGTCACGGAAATCATCAACGGAATCGATTATCGACGGAACTGAGTGAAAATAGTTTTAAAATGGAAACAAAAGTGCTTCAGACCTTTCTAGTATAACCAAGTGAAAGGAATAATTTGCATTTCTGCGCTTATTTACTTAAAAATATTGCGCCTGCGGCCAAGTTTCGCTGGCGAAAAGTTGACCGTGACACATAGTATGCATGGAATAACAAGGAATAACAGATTAATTTTGCACTGTCGCCATTTCCAACAGACTTGACAATTGTCATTAATATGACAAATATCAATCCATAATCAAAGCTCACCTCAAAAGATCGAGAAGCGAATCGAGACCACGATAAGGTCGCGAGAGCTTTTCGTCGGTTCCTTCAGGTTTGCTGCGTTCTCCCGGGCGTATAGAAAGGACCAAGACGATTCCAAGAAGCACAGCGATCAGCATAGTTCCCATGTAGTAAAGCACAGTTCGACGACCAATTCTTCCAGTGGCTTTGGAGTCCAGCGTGGCCAAGGCGGTGATCAAACTTGCAACAATCAGCGGCAGGATTAGCAACTTCAGCATGTTCATGAAGAGCTCACCCGGAAAACCAATCAACATGATAGTAGTAGCTTTCTTTTCTGGGTCTTTGATATCGTTCACACTCTTGTTTACCGATAAACCGATAATGAAGCCGACGAGCACTCCCAAAATAATGAGGACGAGAAGTAGTTCTTTGCGAATGTGGTGCAAGACTTTACCGCAGCAGGAACGCAAACGTTCGTTCTTACACCTGCCCATGATTTATCAACTTTCCTTTCCGGCCTTCACTGGACTTGGAATTGCTAAGATGAGTTCGCTACGATGTACAACCCAAGCTGTGGAAACTACACCACGCGGGATAAAGTGTTTGTAAATAGTGTGATTGTTTGGCGTCTCGATCAGTCTCGCCTGGGTTGACAGGAGTTTTCTGTCAGCTGGGGGCGTGTTAAACAAAGCGTTTGAGGCGTCGGGTCAAGCGATTGCAATGTTTACGTACTCGGAACTGGACGCCATCCAGGGAATGTGGAGAGCGCTTAGGACTCTTCTCAAATTCCCTTTTTACAATTTACAGTCTAATAAACAATTAATTTTGCGCAGTTGTTATGAAGACCGAGAGATTTCTTGCTTTTCGGTTTTGTCAAACTTTTGAACATGAAATATGTGTACCGTATTTTAAATTTTTCACAAGCATTCCAATCGTGTTCATTTCACTAAACAATTTTGTGCCAGGATGGAAAAGAGAAAATTGTTCACGCTCAGGTTGCTCTGGGACCAAAGTGCTGCAACTTTATTCGAATATTTTTCTTTTTTTTCGGCTTTCATGACATTTTTCTCAGCTTAGCCCGTAGCCAGTGGAGCCTTACTGGAGATAACTTCGGGCCATCATTTCATGGAAGTTTCTAAGTGGAGGGACTGTTCTCAATACACATCTAACAATTTAGCACCTTATGGAAGCAAACACTGTAAATTGCGTCCACGCCTCAAGGGATGTTTGGCCTTCTCGACCCAACCGATGCCGGATTCATAAGTTACCATAGCTTCGCAATGCGTCAGACGGAGGTCATCTTGGGTCGACTTTTAGATCACGAAATTCGAGCTCGCGCGACGCGAGTCCTAAAGGCCTTAAGTTAGACTCGCAGAGTAAAATAGGATGGAACACGTACACACTTTATTTTGGCTTTCGAATTTGAACTTGCATTTTTTTATTATTTTTTTAGCATAGTTTCTAACTAACAAAAGGCCTCCTTTTCACGGCTGGCTGATCACATCCTGTTATGATCATTGAAGACATATGTAAGCAATTTCCCAGGAATAGGATTTCTGTGGGCAAAGGGGATGAAACACCGAAAATGGTTTTACAAATGATTATTTGTCTTCAATAGAGAGAAGAGAGAGTTCATAATCTTTATTCCTAAAATAAAGCTTCTGGATTAAATATTCATTTACTTGTAAGACAATGAAAGCAATCACGCAAAAAAACAAAAAAACAAAAAAACAAAAAACAAAAAAGATCCTGAAAGTCATTTGAATTCTTGTCTGGGTAATTTGAATTGAACGCCATCTTCTTTCCAGAGGTAAAGCGCTATGTTGTTATTTCTAATATAATAATTACTGACAAACTTGTGCGTAGGTATGTCACGATTTGTTGTTGGGAATACTGATTACACTGTCAAAAATTCCTGCGAATTTGCGGATTTCACAAGAGATAAAACTCTTAACGCTTGTGAAGAATTAGTATCTTTCGACGTTGTTTCGCTCTTCACTAAAATCCCTGTCGATCTTGCCGTTAAGGTTGCGGAGGAGAGACTCAGAAAAGATGCTTCCCTTGGACAAAGAACTTCTTTGCCTGTGGAGGATATTATTCATCTGCTGTCTTTTTGCCTCAAAACCACGCAATTTACATATAACGGCACCTACAATCAACAAGTTTTTGGTACAGCGATGGGTTCGCCCGTCTCTGCTGTCATTGCTAACATGGTAATGGAACACGTGGAACAAAGGGCCTTAGCCACTTCACCGGTTAAACCCTTTTTCTGGAAAATGTCGATGATGTTATTTCTGCGGTATCCGGAAATGAAGCGGAGCGCCTCCTGTCGCATTTGAATTCAGTAGAGCCGTCGATCCAATTCACCCTTAAGCGTGAAAAGGATAGACATTTGCCCTTTCTTGATTTAAATGTGTCCAGAGGAGTTCAGGGTAATTTAGAGACAAGTGTCTACCGTAAACCTACCCACACCGACAAATACCTCGCTTTCGATTCTCACCAGCCTATTTGCCATAAAAAGTCTGTAGCCAAAACTTTACTTAGGAGGGCTGACTATCTACCATCTTCACTCGATTCGAAGGCTGAGAAGAGGAAATGTGTTTCCAATGTCCTAAAGGCAAATGGCTATACAAAAACCTTTCTCTGTAACTGCCAAAAACCAGTTACAACTAGTAACTCTCTTGATGAAAGGGAACCAGCGACTGGTTTTGCTGTTATTCCTTACATTCAGGGTGTTACGGAACCCATCAAGAGAATTTTGAATAGCCACAACGTTAAAGTTGCTCAAAAAACCTTTTCAGACTTTGGGGCATATTTTCGCCAAACCTAAGGATCCTGTCACGAAAGGACAACGAACCGACGCCATTTAGTCTATTCCTTGCAATGACTGTGACAACGAATCCATCGGACAGACCAAACGCCAATCGCTCTGACGAAGGGCTAACGCTCGAAACGTCAGCTTTTTTACTCTTTACGGTGGCTAATTTACGTTTTCAACCCATTTGTTAACACTAAATTACCTGCTATACTCTCCCACCGACGCAGCACCACAGTTTCTTTAGAAACCTACCCCTTTAGACCAAACGTCAGTTTGGTACGCGTTTGAAAGAGCACCAAAAAGCGGTTTTCCTTTGCAAAAATTCAGCTTTATCGGAGCACACATGCCTAACTAACCATACAATTGGGTGGGATAACTCTAAAATTATCACCACTAATCGGCGTTACCACCAGCGCCTTTGTTTGGAGGCTTGGCATATTAACTCCGCCCACACACTCCTTTAAATCGTGACGATGGCGGTTTGCTCCCTGACGCCTATTTACACCTTGCCAGAAAAAAGGCCGCTAATTAGTGATCATATAAAAGGACCTCTTGTTGCAGCGTTTAGATCACTCCTGATGAAGGCACTAGACGGGAGTGTCAAAACGTTGGGTCTATGAATTGTAACTTCTTCGGTTACATTCATTAAATCTGTAAACCAGAGTAGCATCAAACCAAGTATGATTGTCCACCTGGCTGCCGTGTGAACTTTAATATATTTTAAATGGACGGTTAGTTTGCATTCTGTCTATTTTAAAGGAGGGTTCAATGAAACTCAAATCAATTATGACCATGCCTGCATTTTAAGATGCTAGTAATTTTTTTAATTAATATGTAGCTTCCTTAATTAATTTAAATATGTGACTTTAATTTATCCTCGTTCACAAATTTCAGGATCATTCAAGGATGACGTTTGGTCTGTTTTTTTAATCTATCTAGTATTTTGATATAATTTTTTTAAAAAATAAGGGGCTACGTGGATATTAAGACAATACAAGAGACGGGACATATCTTTGGGATATCGTTTCATCGAAATTTCACAATTAAGGGACTCTTGTGATCTCAATTCACGGTTAACAATTTCGTAATAACGACTAAAGCCAAAACAACGCATTGCAGAAGGACACAGTTCAAATTACGTTATATGCCCCACGCCTCCTCAACTCAAGCAGGAATTCGTAAAGCATGAAACAAGAGGCGTGACGTTTGGATCTATAAATAAAAGCATTTCCTGTTTGTCTCTATGAAACCCATTTAGCATGAAATCGCAAGTGCAGTGAGAGTACAGACGGTCAGACATTAGAATGGCCATGAAAATTGTTTTATGGATGCTAGTGATTTTAGTTTCCTTACATTCAATATCATCGCATGGCTCGGCGAGATATTTAAAGGAAATTGTCCTCGGTAGATGCTGGGACTTTCAACGGCAAAAGACGTCCGAGGTCACCCCCAAGAACTGTTCGAAATTATGGGAAACATTTCACAATGCATTCGCCTTCAAGGACCCGTGTGCAACGAATTTCTCTGATTATGAACCTTTCTTTGATGAAGTTGGAATGGACATTGTCAAAAGGGATAAGGTAAGATGGAAAAGAGACACGCTCCCAAACCGCAATTACGAAAATCTGACTGCTGACTTAATTTTATCACTAACTAACTTCATTCGATTCAGTTGGATGATTCGGACAAGTTGGCGCACAGTGTCACTGTTTACGTAAATTAATCAGGAACATTGATGGAGAACTTAACAACTTAAAACTTGAATTCTCACTAACAATCCGCCAGCATAGTGAATTTGTGTAAGAGAACAGGCAAAGATAGTTTGTATTCTCAAGTCGAAAACAGTGGGAGACCTTTTTCCTGGATCGAGGGAAAAAGCAACTCGTAACTACATTAGCAGCTTTTTTTTGTTAGTTACCATGTCTACCTATTTATCTCTCAAATATTTCGATTCGACATCGACAGGTGATCGTTTGACGCGATGAATATTTTAATTCAGAACTGAGTTTCATTTTTCCGCATTCAAAGCGTGGCCGTTAATGCAACGTAACTGAAAGCTCCAAGTGACATACGTGCCGCTAGTGGACTGCGTGACATTATATGCTAATTAGTAAAGAACTGAAACCTTGCACGCTCCTATGGTGTTTATCGCATATAAGTAAATTAACTTTTAGCCCAATAAATTGGCAATTGGTGTTGGCTACAGCAGCATATACATCTTTTATGAAATTACTAGTTATTTTGTGCATAATGCGATGGTTCTTCTTTTCTTTTCTTTGTTGCTGCGTCAACAAGGATATTTCGCACGCGCTAAACACCAAGGCTGCAATATTCGATGGCCTCTGAGTTTGTTTACAAGTAGATACACTGCGCAAAAGTCGGTAAGATAGAATGGTTCCCTACAGTTTAATGAAAGGCAAAGACTAAATGAAAATTAGAAGTAACTGTCAAGCATCGACATACTTTTACTTCCTTCACTTTAGAGTGTAAACAATGATAATAAAATCATTAACTCTATCAGTAAAGGAATAAACAGTAACTTCAAATAAGGTGATAAGGAACACTCGTCCTAATTTGTCTTCCACCGATGTTTTCGTATTAGAGTCTCTTTTGGTCAGGAACATACAAAGAAGCTCACGAATACTCGGACTTTAACTCCAGGCTGACTACATTAGAAGATACAATGGCAGGGTAAGTAAGCTCAGATGTTAGTGTATTTACCGTCAGAGTCTCTTAAGCCCCACAGTACAAATTCCTTTCCTTTTTCATGTTACGTCCATTTTCTGTCTCTCCCCTTCCCCCGTCCCAACCTCTCCAGAAAGAAGCTTCCGTAGAGATTTCCTGGTACCCAATCATACTCAAACAACTACGCACAAGCAGAATATAATTTTTCATTTTGGCGGTATTAAACATGCGCAGTCATTATTTGCTTAATAAGCAGTTTTTGTTGGTCCCTTGGCAGGGTTTTAGCCAATAAAAAAGGAGGAAAATATGTGGAATAATGACTTTCTGCTACATGTACTAAATTACTATAACAGGGAGAAAGAAAATTATGTGTGTTGAGTGAGGTGAAATTGTTTTAGTTTTGCGATAAGTAAAATAAGTAATGGTTTACATTAAAAACTTAATTGTTTAATTAGTTCTCATCTAACACCTCTGGACAGCGTCTGTAATCTAAATAGGTTAAAGAGTGATTTGTTTTTTCATGGCATGACAAACTTCCATACTCAGAATTAAAGAAATGATTATGAAAATATAAATCCGTTGCACTCGTCATTAACTATTCCGTATTTAGAGAGATAGGAAAAAATATTTTCGCTCCTTCAAAACATATGACAGAAAAGTCATTGTTTAAGTCTCTTGTTGGCTTAGAATCAATAAGCATTGATTTGAAACCTTTTTGTTTTGCAAACAGATGGATGATGAATGGCTTAACTTGGTGTGGTTCAAAAAATAAATCATCTGATGGTATTAACTACGATTCCTGTCCAAATTGCAGTCACTTCAAAGCATTTTGGGGCTTAGCTTCAAGAAGAGTAAGCTTTGTTTGGTTGTCCGACATTTTTCGTATGAGCGCTGTATATATGTGAGATGACGTAGATCGGCTAACTGGAAATTCCCGAATAACACATTTTAAAAGTTGGCTATTCGAGTTTGTTTATGTAGCCATTCGTGGTGATTTTGCTTTTGCAGCCGCCAATTTATTAGGCCCACATTCGCTCTTTACACCTTAACATCAGTTGGTTAATTCTCCATACTATTCTCTATACGCTTCTTATGTTACATATAAGGAGAACTTGCGTGATAATCGAGAATTACTTGACCTCGCGAAGTCCTTTCCTTTATTCTCATGACCTTAACGTTTGATTCAGGGAGTGATACTGTTGGGAGAAATTAGATGCTCGTCACTCTCTGGGGTTAAAGGGTTAAGCTACCCCCTATTATTTTAAAAACTGGATCATTGGATAATGCAATTCAAGAGTTTTTATTGGCTTAGCCATCATGGGTTATGAGCCATTATACCATGCTCTACAGATATGGTAAGTATACACGTGAAAAAAATGAAATTGACAAAATGAAGTTGACTATCTATCAACTCATATCCAGCGGGCGCTCGTGTGATAATTGTTAATTAGGCCTCATGTTACAGATAAGTTCGCGTGATCTAAAGGTATCTTAAAGCCCTTTAAAAAATGACAACAAATGCCCCACTTACTTACTGAGTAAGTGATTTTCCATATCGAATGCTTTCCAATTGAGTTTTCAAGTAGAGAGGAAAATCTAAAACAATCCATATATTATTTTGTCGATGTTATCCCTGGTTTTGTTTTCTATTTAAAGATTATATGCTTTGAACAAGGAGTTTACCGGTTTTTTTGTGCGTTTTCGCTTCAAGTATTCACTTTTAAAATAATCTCAGTCAGTCAGTACATCCAGCTACCATTGCTTTTATGCATCATGTAAATCCAAGCTGATATCCTCTTGTTATCATTCAATGTACTAGTTTGCAGAGAAAGCCAGTGGAATCTCTCATGTCTTGGTCAACGGATCGCGGTTAATAAACGGGACACCAGCTGCTTACTCAAGAACGAAGTAAACTGTTTCCTTTTTAATGAAGGGTCTGACATTTCTTTCAAAAATTCCCTTTCATGCATGATATCATGAGTTTGAAAAAAAAAATATAGAAGATAAATGCGAGGCGTCACGGCGTAGCTCTCTCGGCCTCCGTTTGTTAGGATACGTCATTTTAAGATTAATCCTCAGTTTTCGACGCAAACGTATCAGTTCCTTCCGTCCTCTCAAGATAAATGTTTTCTTTTTCTTTAATTGTTAAATATTTAATTTCCTTTTAAATCGTTGTACGATGGTTCAATCCTTTTTTTTTTGTTTCAGTTTCTTTGGAAGTATGGAGCTTCCAAACCTTAACAAAAGCAATGTCATTGAGCTGAAAATTCTAGTGGTCCATAACATCGGTGGTCCCATTTTGTAAGTTGATTTTCAATTATCTACTTTCATGTGCGCTTCATGACAGTTTTACCGGAACTCATTACTAAACTGGACTTTGTACAAAAAAGCTATTGTTAGGATTGTAGATAAAAGTTTTCACGGGCCTTCATCTAATGATAGATTCGCTTTTCCGCCTTTCAGTGTTATCCAAACTAACATGATGAGAAATCTCTCCCAAGTGGTTTCCCCCTGCGGTGAACCTTTCCCTTAGATTTCACTTAACCTAAGGGGTAGTGTCGTTTCAGCCCCCCTATTTAATTTCCCAGTTATAATCAAAGATGTAACCGATTCAGTGTTATTAGGGTGTTTGGGCGGGAGATGGGACTTAAGGAACTAAGGACAGATCTAGGAAATTCTGACTGAGGGGGAAAATCCAAACGTTGATCCAGAAGACAAAAAGGGCTTTTTCTCTGTATTTGCTCTACTCTAATACCTAAATAAACTTAGTAACTTTCAGGACATGTAAACTTTTTATGTGTTTCAAGCTAAGAAGAATTTGTAAGAATTTCGGTGTCAGTCCCCCGAAACCTCAGCCTTTCCACTGGATCTGCTCTGGGTATTTTGTCTGGTTCTAGTGCAGCCTCCTCGTAGCGTTTTTAGCATAGACAAAGACATTCCAGTCATTCTATTCGTGAATCAGCTCTTTGATTTTTCTTTTTGTTTTAATATGTGAAATTGAACTGTTAGCCAGACATGATTTAACAATGAGCTTTTAACAAAAATTATTAATTAGGATAGATAATATCTTTTATCTGACAAATAACACAGGGAGGTTTGTGGCAATGGCTCGATCAAAGAGATGGAGGAGGATGCTAACAAAAGAGGCATAAAAACGACTTGCCTCGATGACCCGGCGTAAGTATACCCTCCTAAATGGAACAGAGTAAAACGGGTGTGGTTCTAAAGTGGCACGACGTAATTCTCAGTTTTTGTCTAATTTCCAGTCGAATTCTCATGAGATAGCGATACCGATTCCATGAAACCCAGCACTCATTGCGACTTTTCAGGCTCCAGTGGAGAAAAGCTTTATAAAAATTTCAAAGGGATGGCAAAACTCCTACATTTCATCATGATTAGATTAAGCGGTAAATCATTACGGTCGCTACATAACAGATGACCCGGAGTAAGTATAACTTTAAAATGGAGTGAAATGGGTGTGGTCCTCAAGGGGGGAAGGTATACCTCTCATTTTAGGCCATTTTCTTTCTAATTCCAAGTATCCTTCTTACATGATAGCACTTCCAACTCCAAGAAAACCGGTGCTCCTCAAAAGAAGAGCTTTATAAAATTTCAAAGCCGTAACAAAGCTACATCTCCAGAATTTATGACCGATAACAGAGTTTTTGTAGCAAAAGACAACTGAGTTACTGCGTTTTTATCTATCTGTATAGTTGGGGCCAAGAAAGGATTCTCTCCTGTTGGGGCACAACAAGCGAATAATTAAAATAGGACTACTTCAATAGATCAAAATTGGGCTTAAAAACCGGTTTTTTTTAAAGTTCTTGTAACATTGCTCTAACTCCTTTGTTTGTCGTGGTATTACCATCATAAGGAACCTTAAGCAGTCCAGATAGCAACGCCGAGGAAGACGTGGGCTTAAAAAAATGATCTATATTGTTAGTTAGAATTGCAAAAATAGCTAGACATGTTTGCCGCCTCTTTCAGCGCCACACCTTAACCTCAGCATAACGTATTTGGGCAGCGTTGAGCTCCAAATCCAAACTTAAATAATTTGCCGTTGGGGTTTCCCTTTCCACACCATGCAAGCTCCGATGATTTCACGTTGTTGTTTTGCAGAGGACGGTTTGCTTAAGTTCGTTATATGGTGACCATTAATGACGCATATGTAATTAATTCTCTTACATCGTGTGCCTCCTAAGGAAGGAGCATTGTGAATAACTTTAGAGGAATGCGCAATTTTCATGGTTAACGTTTTCATGTTTCGTCTTTAAGGCAAATTCAACATCTGCTGTGCGCTGATTTCCCAGAATCTCGCGTGTGCCGGTTCCTTCGTAGTGCAACAAGGAGTGTAACAAAGGCCGTGAGTTGTGGGTGAGTTGACTTCATCTGTTTCCATTATTTTCAGTGAGAACATCGACAATCAAACCTTAGAGCAGTGATAAACGACGCCATCCCATTCCATTTATTAAGACAGGTTTCGTTCCTCTTACTTAAGGTGTTTTCTTTCATTCTCTAGTTTCCTCGTTCTTTTTCTTATCACCAAGAATAGCAGCATATGATACAAATAGCTCTAAAACAAACAAGCAAACTAACAAATGAGGACGCGCTGCCCTTGAAAACTTTTTCTCTAATAAAGGAAGAGAAGATATAGCGGTGATCTCAGGAGAAAAAAAATTTCGAGGAATTTGTGCAACATCAACAAAATAAAAGTTTAAAAGTCAGTTCCCCCCTTCCCCTCTACCCTTTTCCCCCTCCCCCCTTCCACCCCCCTTCCCCTCTACCCTTTTCCCCCTCCCCCCTTCCATTTCTCCCTTTCCCCTCTTCCCCTTTCCCCCTTTCCTTCCCCCTCCCTATTCCCCCTTCCCCTCTTCCTTTTTCCTCTTCCCCCCTTCCATTTCTCCCTTTCCCCTTTCCTGTTCCCCCCTCCCTATTCCCCCTTCCCCTCCTCCTTTTTCCTCCTCCCCCTTCCATTTCTCCCTTTCCCCTCTTCCCTTTTCCTCTTTTACCCTTTCCCTTCCCCTTCCCCCTTACTCCTCCCCCCTTCCCTCCCCTCCTAATACCCTCCACAACGCCTCGAGTTTGAGCAATCCACCCATATCCTGTCCATCCTATTTTATAACCTACCGATATAATTGTAAGGAACTACTAAATTTATTTTATCATCCTCTTGACTGCTTTAGATCTTGGAAGCTGGTAGCTATTCTGATGATATCGATTACTGGAGCTGTTCTTCTGGTTGCACTAATTGGAGTAATTTATGTCAGCAGTAAAAAGAAAAAAAACCCCTTTTCATTTAAATACAGACAACATATACAGGAATAAACTGTAAAACATCTAAAGGTCTTCCTTTGAAACTCAGCAAACGCTGAACATTTTGATTTGAATCTGACAGGTCAGTTGTGTAGTAAACTATCAACGTCAAGTTCAAAATGCGCAAACAATCCCCAAACTACCAAAATTATCACCGTTGTCATTTGCGGTTAAGTTTCCCGACACCAAGAATTTACCTTGAAACACATATCACTTAAAAAAATATTTGGTGTCCACAGCTGTCTGAGTCTCACAGTACTTTTTGATTTGATTGTAATTCCTATGGAAATTGACGAAATATACTTGTGCTTAAAAAGTTGATGTGGAGCTTTGAGTCTTATGCATGATTATAAAAAAAAAGTTACACCAATCACCTTTCTTTTCGAGAGAGTTGCACGAACTTCATCCCATGGTGTATATTTTGCTGCTTGTTCACGCTTAAATCTTTTTCAATATTCGGCCAAATTTCAAACAAAAGGTATCCAAGTGGAGGTGGCTACTTTATCTCTCATTTCGTTCCGATTGACCTCTCCTACATTTGCAATGATGTTTACTTGGACAATCGGCATAGGTCAAAGGGCAAGATTTATGTATCGGACTAACTCATTTTCGCCGTTATTGGCTGGATCGTGTCATTAGTTATGTCATTTGCGTCGCTAATGTCAAAGAAGTATTGTGTTATGTCTCTTATAAATAAGATGATCCCACGTACTGTTTGTATTTTGTGTAATTCAGTGGAGGGTTAAACGAGTCTCAAGGCTCATTATGACTTAAGCCTGCATTTTATAGAGCAAGTCCTTTTCCAGTGGAAAGGTTGCCCTCTCAATTTGATATGTGATCCACTCCTCCTTCACAAATGCCAGGGTCGTTTAAGAGTGTCTTTTGGTCTATTATAAGTCTATCAATATTTAGCCAACATGTGTTGACTGCTTACATGAATAATGTAAAGCTAATGACTGTAAAAAATCAAGTTACGAAAAAAAGAAGCTGGAATCCAAACTTCGTAGAAAATATGTATAAACTTGTTAAATGAACCACAATATTTGGCTATAAAAATGAAACCTCCGAATATTCGTAAAATTCCAAACAAAGGGGTAACAAATTTACGCGATCGAAAGCTCAAAAACAACTAACTAAAACTCGGCGAAAACAAACAAAAGGTACGCGAAAATTGTTCACGTCAGTTTCCAATGTCAAGGTTAGAGTTTTTGGACGTGATTGGTTTTCAGTGTCTTTGATTAAATCTTTTTTTAGTCAATTCATTTGGGTGGCATAAGAGAGACGCAGTGTTTTCGTGAACACGTAGAGTTTGTGGAGGCTAAGTGAATCTCACGACTCATTTATTTCAGTTCACCCGTCAACCGTGACAAGCCATAAAAGATATTTTGGAAGGAAATGTTTCGGGCGTGAATAAATATCGGTTCAGAGTGTCAATACACTTCGGGCCTTGTTTTAAAGACTAGAGTAGGGACGATTTCTATTTTAACTATCTTTTTTCTTAATCTTTTGACAACTACTCACCGAAATGGAGGTGGCTTATGGTGGATATTTATACCGAGCTGCGAAGCGGTAAGGTGAATAGTTGTTTCTGAGTATATACTAAAACAATGAGATAATATATATATATATATATATATAGCAAAAGGGTGATTTTAACTCATTTCAAGTTCCGGCATCGATTACAATATTTTTTTATAAATTGCAATATATTCCTGCGCGCGTTGCTCGGTGAATAGCGAATCAGAGCGCGCCTTCAACGTTAGGCACTGTTTTAGTGTACACATAATTAAACGATCTTATTGTTTAAGTGCGTCTAGAGATTGCGCCAGGCAGTCTGTCGATCATCTCTCATCATGCGATGAATGGATTCTGAATCTGTCGGGTTAATTGCAGTCTTGAATCATGGACTTATTTTGTTTGATTCGCTGGTTTGCTTAAGACAATTACCTGGTTATACTTGTGCTGAGTGTTTTATGGTGCCCGGTTGGTTATACTACGGCCTTGCAAGGGCAATAACTGATAGACTGTTACTGGACAACAGGTGAGCTGATCGAGTTTTATTGCGAGGAGTGAACGACTTAATGGCTTTTATTACATATTCCATTGTTTGTTTTTTGCCGTCATTGTAGTATTCAGTCAAATTGACTTTTTCCTCATAGAAGTGGGCAGATCCATGCCCAGACGAGTCCTGCCACATGTTGGTTCACCCTGTGGATTCTGGTTGTCGCTCTGAATCGTGAGATGTGTCTTTCCCAAGGTCCTCTTTGTCATTGTCTCCTTTCAGATTCTTGATTAACTCCTCTGAGGACCTCTCAAAGCTGGTCATTCCTGGTGAGAAGTTCTGATCTGGGTCTTTTTTAACAAAGCGACGTCCTTCAGACTGTACATCTATCTCCCTGTCCACCTTCTTCCATGCCTGCTTGGTCAGCGTTCTTCAGTTCATCACGTGACAGGTGTCCAACTATACCAGCGCCGATTGCATCCCCAAGAACATTTACAACAGTACGGATTCGATCCCTTGAAAAGCAAACAATGAAGATCAAGAAATGAAACTCCGTTTGAAGCGAAATAGATGAATGAATAAATGAAATTATGAATGTATGAAAGAATGAACAGATGGATGAAGTATCGAATAAATAAATGAATGAAGGAATGAAGGATTGAAGAGACAAGACGGGAACGCTTTCAGGACCCTTCATATAAATATATACTGGATAAGTTAAAAATATGGAGCCCCTTAAACATTGAGGACGAACAAGAATTATGCGTAGAGTAAAATGAAACTCATAGTTTAAAATACTCTAATAAACGCTGATATCTCTGGTCTTACATGAACCAGTCCACTGCCCAAAGAAGAGTAACATCACTGGTGGGGAGATTAGCAGACTGTAACACAATCAGCATGGTAACCAGGCCTGCAGACGGATTTGCCGCCGCAGTCATAGATGTCAATCTAAATGATGAAAAAAAATGACAGAGACATAACTTACCAGCGCCCTTTTGCCTATTCGAAGCATTCATTAATCAAACAGAGACGCAACGCGAAACAGATGAATTAAAAATAAGAAAAAGGTGAACGAAACGAGGCTGGATAAAGATGCTCTCCTCTTTTTATTCTTCCATTTTTCCCACTCATACCATGACGTTTTTTCATCACTTAACATACGGAATCTTTACTTTCAAATTTATAGCCGTGAACCAGCATGATGATTTACCAACTTACTAACGACATAATCTGTTCTTTGCAGACGACTACCATTTGGAAATCCACCTTAAATTGTTTTGCAAATGGATTTTGAATTTTCAATATTTCATCCACAGTACTTCTTTATCAGTTCTGATGATTAGCAGTTAGGATCCAGTCAGTATTTATCGCCGGGATTTGGGGGGTTGCAGGATTTTGGGGGATCACATGGTTTTCATGACACAACCGTGACGCAGCGTTTCACGGCTATCGCTCTGACGAAGGCCTAACGTTCGAAACGTCAGCTTTGAAACTCTTCACGGTGGCCAATTTACATTATCAACTCATTTAATATCACTAAATTACCCTGCTATTCTTGAAACAGAGTCCACTTTGGTTACACAAGAGTTTCTTAAATCAAGTTTTTTTATGCAGAGCGTTTTTTACAGGCACCCAATACACATTTTGGTGAGAGAAGATATGTTTCTTTAGCCTCAGAGAGGCAATGTACTTACAAAATAGTAATAACTTGTCCTGCCCCAAGGCTGATTCCGTGAAGCTGCGCGATGCAGAGAACACAAACGCCTTCGTACAACACGGTTCCGTCCATATTAACTGTGGCACCCAACGGTAGAACGAAGCGACTGATACGTTTGTCTACGTGATTGTTCTGCTCCACACATCTCATGGTCGTTGGCAAAGTGGCAGCGCTGAATTAAAGACGTGATAGTTGGAAGTTTTTAAGAAAAGAAATAGGAAACGCCTTTTCTCGCGCACATACAGTAATCTGTAATTTTGTTTGGAATACTGGCTTCAATTCACCTTCAGTAATACTTAGTCTGCCTTCATTCATGTACCTTAATGGAACCTGTTTATAAAAATAGACTTTCTCAGACAAGAAACCTCTTTTACTGGTGTTGCTATTTTTCTCACCAGTATAAAAGGCAGCATGACTACGTTTGAACAAAACCGAATCGCTTTTCCCGCCTTTCAGGGGTGGGAAAATGATGATGGGCTTTATACAATTAGACGTTCTAAAAAGATTGTCTACAGACGATTTATACTGGGGATGAGGATAGTTAACATGCCTATTTTCCTAAAACCGAGATTTAAGACTGCACAAGCTGTGCTCCCTTAACGACAGAAGTTCAACGTCGGCAACTCTGATTCCAGGGTCTTTCCAATCAAAGTGATACCGACGACCTCGCAAACAAGATTTCTCGAAGTTCCGCCTTTCGGAAGCTGTAGAACTGCCCATCAAACCCGACTCAACAATACATGGGCAAGTGGTAACAGAAGGAATCATTTCAATCAGCTAAAGGATTGCTGGGACGCCGCTTACAACAAACACGTATGACAATCTTGGAGTCGCTGGAATGGAAACGCACCCTATGTAATCGACCGACGCACAAGGGATTTACAACTAAACCCTTAACACCCTGACATCAATATGCATATTCTCCATACTGTTTTATATACATTTCCTATGGTGCGTGTAAGGAGAATCTGTTTGAAAATCAAACACTTCTTCAGTCTGTGATCATCTGCTTTATTCTCCTGACCTTAATGTTTGATTCAGGGGTGATCTTGTAAGAAGAAATTAGATGTTCGTCATGCATGAATCGAAGGGTTAAGAGCCCTCCAAAAAACACAGAAATAATTATGACACCGACCTGGAATCTGTACCGTACGCTGTTAATACGGCATCCAACATATTTTTGATGTAAATAATCGGGTTTTTCCTCGTGAAGATCAAATAAACCAGCGGCAAAATAATAAAGCCGTGGCAGAGAAGACCGGCTATGGCGGTAACCATAATATACCCCAGCATTTTCAATGCATACTGACTATCATGCATGCCGACATAGTTAGCAGCTATCAAACTACAGGTTCCAATCGGAGAGAGCCTGGTGAAAAAAAGGTGACGGTTAGCGTTGAAATTAAACAGCTTAAAAAAGGTGATGTTCGACTTTCCTGTTTGTTTTGGTCAAAATCCGTCAAAAATTTCCAACCACCACGGATACCACTCATCACTTTCCTCAGCGAAATTCTGATGATGCTCATCATCCTTTGATTTACTGTTGTGGCTTTATGATTTTCAAGTTCTCGTGCAGTAATAAAAAATACAAGTTTTTGGCCAGCCAATTTCCACTAGAATTTGAAAAGCTTATTTATTTAATTCAATCAGAAAAAGAAACATCTTATCTTAATTTTAAGAAGTGTCAGGCCAAACTTAGTGGCATCTTTTGTACTCCTCGGAATTTGAATTCTTTCCTGTCGTGTTTATCACTTCCTTGGTAACATGATGGACAAAACGCGAAGCGGCCATTTTGATAATCAGCAAACAATTATATTAAGATCTAAAATCCCGATACCGGCTTTTGAACAATTCTTGCTGGCATATCCTTTCTCTCCTCTTTCCCAGGCCTTTAGCGATCTACAACCTAGCATAGTCTTCTTTATTTTCATTCATTGCGACTCATTACTTAAGTCATTGCGATGAATATCTTACCACATGACTAATGATACCATTTTCATGATGATTTCGTTCAGCGACTCAATGAAGGCTTTCATGGGCAATCCACGTTTTCCAACGCGCCCCAACACGATACCAAACACAATGGAAAACACAACCAACCCAAGGACGTTCATATTTCGGGAAGCAATTTCGAGTCCCGCGGGAACCATCGATGATCCCGGAGCTAGTTCCTCTTCCTTCAGAACTGTATAATTGTGAGTCCCGTTCCTAATTGTCTCGTTGTATTCTTTAACAACGGGGTCGACAGTCTTGTATTTGGTACGTTTCTGACAGTAAAGATTAACCACGAAAAAAAAAAAATTCAAACACACAAGTCCTGGGGGGTGGAACTCGCCATGTTCATTAGACTTTAAAGGGGTACCCTGCCAAATGGGTAAACTTTTTCATGTCAAAGATGTACGAAAGGAATGGGATTTCCTGAGTGAAGGTATAGAATAGCTTTTAAAAGTCTATAAGAAGGGGTTACACAAGAAATAAAGTGAGTAAAAGCTGCTCCGTTCAAAACTGAACAAAAAAACCCAGAAACGTTTTAAGCAGCCTCCCTCTCTGGTAAGCCCCACTCTCTAATATGAGCCCCCCCCCCTCCATGTTTGGCTTCAATTTTCTAAATGATCCCCCTCTTCCTCCACCACCTCGAGAACAAAGACTATCTCGTTTTAAGAGACACTGTGGAATTCAAACTAAAAAAAAAACGATTTTCGGTAGCTTTCCTTTATTTGCCAGCAAATCTACGGAATGTTCCAGCGGTTGAGGACTAATTTAGAAACCACTAACCTGTATGAAAGTTGCCTCCACAAGGTTCACTGGAAAGCAGCTCCTGTAATGCAATAATTGGGAATAAAAAAAAAAAATGAAGAGACAAAAGGCTCCTAGTCCAAGTTTTAAGATACTTTAGTTTCATTAAAGTTTATTATCGATAGCCTATCTGGCGGAAGTCTGTTGTCCGAGACGCCTGTATGAAGGCTGACCTCGATTTGAAGGTAGCCTTAATAATATTACGATGGTTTTCCGCGGGGAAATCAGTGTTGTCAAGGTGATTTCCACAAACAAGAGAATCGTTTTCTTTAGGCGAGAATGCTAGTGCGGCCGTCAAAAGTACACTTGGTGGAATGGAACGCCTTGATCTCCCCTCTCCGCTCCCTGATTTCTTCCTTTCAAAATACGAAAGTATGCGAACAGTGAAGCTATCTAGTCCAGTGGCTTTATGAGACGGAATATTCTTAAGGTCATTGTCAATTATCTTCTCTTAATCTTTGGCCGAATGAAATAGCCCACTCTGGGTTTGGGTAAATTTGCTAATATATATCCCCTTGGTATCGAAAGAAAAAAGCTTTCTTAAAGACAAAAATTGCCTTCCTAAGATCACAACGATAAATTGCGAGTTATTTGCCCAGACAGTGTAAAGGTGTAGGCCGTTGGCTATTTAAAACGTAACCAAACAGGAATCTCAAGGTAAACTTGACACCCTTAGTACCAGTTGATGACGGGCGTGACAGATGAAGCTGATCCTCGCAAAAGACGAAAATATACGAGAGAAAAAACTCGCGCCTAGTGAAATCAAGCCCCTTTTCTGACGCCGCCCTCATTACTGATATGGGAAAAGTGATTTAGTGATAATTTACATACATGGTCAGTAAGGCACTAACAATCATTGTACGCAAATATGAATTGAAATTGTTTGACTCCATCACAGTCCCTGCCGGTAGAATCCCCGGTGTTGTAACATCAGAATAATAAAAATAGGTCCGCAATGCGTACTTGTGTGGGATTTTATTGACAAAGTGTTTGGAAGGGGTTTTTGAGCGGAAGCAAACCTGTCGCTCACTGTGGGTCAACTGTACTACAGGAGTGATATTAGGCCTGGAATCAACAGTCTGAATAGTAATTTTTGTGTGGGAATTATTTGAACAAATACAGATTCACAGGAGGGATCTGGGGTATTAACTTTTCCTTTTATCAAGCAATATGCCTTTCCTTCCCTCCCTGGAAGCCTTTTGGCGTGTTTTTGAACGTTTGGTAATCGTCTTCAACAAATAAATTACCTCTTGGTGGCTTAGGCTATTTATTTGTTTATACGGCAATACTGGAAATACTTGGAGCAGTAAATATTTTCGTAACAGTCATTGAAAAAAAATTGAAAAAATTTCTGCTACTGCTTTTTAACTCGTGGATACACGATAGCGTAGAAAAGAGTTCTTGTGGGCGCTCTGCGATATACAAATTAGCGTGGACTCTTCGTAATTAGTCGTAATTAGTCGGCTTCGAACTCGAGATCTATCCTTCCGAAGAAGTAAGTCCAAAGTCGTGGCGCTATTATGATTGCACTGATCGTTGCGATATTTATTGTCTTTACACGCCTGTTTCGACATTTACTATATTGAAATGGACTTCAAATGTTTCAGATTAGTGCTATGATCAACTTAAAAACCAAATTTGAAGCGTCTTCGAATCGTCCATGCGCTGAACATAACGAGGACCAGCGAGAATCACGAAGAGTTTGTGAGTGACAGCAAGCTGTTGACACAGAAATTCCCACGGAAACATGTACACATGACATAAAAAAAATGGTTATTTGCAGCATTATTTCTTTCTACGCCAATTTGGGTCTTTCCGTTGTAATCGTTTCGTTTTGTTATTCTTCTATGCAAGCGTGACTGTTTTGATGGTAAGAATGAAAGATGATCGCTTTCCACAAGTCGTTGCCGAGCATGTGACTATAATCTGGCCGGTGTTGTTTTGATCACTTGACAATCTTTTTCGCTGAAAATACAGGACGACTTCCTATTTCAAGGAATTTTTTTCCAATTAATTTCTATCGCATCGGTGTAAAAAAGTACAGGTATATGGGTGTTCTGAAAAACAAAAGAGAAATTCAAAACTACGAGAAATTGCGAGTAATCGGTCTCTTGTACTACACGCGGGTTTTTTTGGTGTAACATGCGTGTGTTTCCCGTAAGTTACAAGCACTTTACGCACGTGGGAATGCTGCAATCACGAATTTTATATTACGTGAAAGTCACGCATGTGGTTGTTTGCTCACTTCACTAATATGTTTGTTTGCTTGTTGTTGTTTTATTTGGTATCCTAGAGTATTTCAGGAGGGGTTGCAGACTTAACTGTGGAATAATTGTTTAATGTAGGGTTGTCAATAAAGGTTGCAGTTAGAAATTAGCCAAGATGCTAAAGGAGCTGCCTTGAAATTTCAGGACTGTGTGTTATGTAGTTTATTTTTGTCTTATGTAAATGGTTGTTAAACTGGACAACTCTTAGAAAGATGACTTCAAACTTAATTTTAAAAGGCCTGTTCTGGTACCAAATGAATAAGCAGCATTTCCTTATTAATAGTTTTGCAAGTTTCTCATTACAAATTCCTCTGAAAAAAGAGAAACAACTCTTTTCATAACTATTTACTGCTTTCTTTTGTTGCTCTCTTAACTTAAAAACAATGTACATCATGATAAAGTAATTTGTTATAGGACACCGTGAAATAGGCCCAAACAGCTTTATGATCTGTGAAATGTGTTTCTAAAACATCTGCTTGTATATCAATGTTAGATATATTTGTATATATATGATCAATTACTGTGTTGTTGTCAGTTGTATAAGTAGATATGAACTGTTTGTAGTGGTTATCCCTCACTAGTAAATTATACAAAGGTCTTCTGTCTGTTTCAACAAGCCAATTTATATCAAAGTCTCTAGTAATGATATTGTTGTCTGGTGAAATGTTATTTAATACCTCAGTTATTGCTTCATAAAGTTGTCTTACAGGCACGTTTGGGGAGTGATATATCCCTATGATTGTCCAATCGTCAAACCTTGCTAACTTAATTACTGTTATTTCAACACCATGTATATTGTGACAATAGGGGTATCCAGGTAAGTATGGGATTTTACTGTACACAGCTGTACCACCATAAGACCTTGATCCATTGCTGGAATTAAGGTTATCATTACGGAAGAGAACATAACCAGCAATGTCATACATGCCATTATTATCTTGAGAATTAAATCTTGTTTCTGTGAAAATGTTGATATCAGCACTTAGATAAATTAAGTCTTTACGTATATCTTCTATGTGTTTGTGAAGAGACCTTACATTAAGATAACACAGTTTAAGAAGGGAAAATGTTATGTCATGGAGAGGGAGATGGAAAGCTTAAGTTTTGCAGTTGTTCTTAATCTCTCCATCTGGATTAACAGCAATCTTGCTTTCACACAAATCAGAAATATATAGGCCTTCTATAGCAGTCACTCTACTAATGTATGTGTGGAATAGTATTTCTGGTACTAAAATCCACAACAATCCTACTGTCAGCATCACCTTGTGACCTGTGAATTGTTTTTGCTGCTGCGGGACGCAGTGGAAATTGTTTTCTAACAACTTGTGCTGTTCTGTTTCTACCTACCGCAAACTGTGTAGTCACAGGGTTTACTGGGGTCCATGTGTGTTCAATTCACTGTACATACAAATGTCTTTTTTCATTCCTTGTTTTCTGACCTACATCTGAGTGGTCAAATTGTACCCATACAATACCAGATGGTTTGGTTTGTTGATGTAACTGAACTAGTTTAACAACATTTCCAGCACCATTTGTCATGCCATCTTCGGTTCGTACATTCATGACAAGGTGTGTTCTTTCACCCTCAGCAAGACAAAGGGTTGAGGCTAACTGTTTTGTTTTTCTTGGATCATTGGGTATTTGTCTTAGTATTTTGTTTCTTAGCTCTGGAGAGATAGCTCCAATAACACTATCTTGAGCATTTATTGTGAATTTGTTTCCCGTGGCTGCTTTATGGGCCCTTTGTTTAAATTCATCTACTTTAGCATTCTGTATAAATAGGTGAGCTGCATCTATTGGGTTGTTGATGTCTTCTTGTATAGCTCTCTTTAAGTTTTGCAATGTCAGCTACTGTGTGTTTACCTTTATGCAACCTATTAAGTAATTCTACAAACAATTTGCTGTCTCTTTGACCCATTATTTCATTAAGTTCAAACATTTTAAAGTGTTTATGCCATAAACTGGGAGAAAGAACAGCATAAATCTACATTTTTGAGGTCTTTGAAAATATAAGCATCCATAACAGGTTCTAATTGGAATAAGTCACCAATAGCAATTATGCTCACACCCCCAAAATCCTCTCTACAGCCTTTTATATCTTTAAGCCTATTGTTTAGTTGTATTGCAAACATACCATTTCCTACCATTGAGATTTCATCAACAAAAATCAATTGACTTCTCAAAGTGTTTAGTCTACTTGAATCAAGCTGTTTGTAATTTCTCAGTGATTGATTGGCAGGAATGGCCAGAGTGCTATGAAGAGTGTCACCCTTAAGCTTTACCAGTTGGAGCTAATAGTATAACTATGATCTGATGAAAATCATCACCAGCTCTAGTGTTATAATACTTAAGCACTGCCTGATACAAAGCTTTTGTTAAATGCGATTTGCCAACACCAGCCCCTCCACTGAGGAAGCAGTAGAAAGGGGTTTCTGAGGTTTTAATCTGATGTAAAATGTGTTAAAAAAATTCTTTTTGCTCTTTATCGGGTGTCTGGACCATTTGACGAAAATCAAAATCAGGTAATTCATTCAATATCAGTGGTTCATTATTCAGCGATGTTGATGAAATGTTGAGATCATCAAAGAGGTCATAGTTTTCACTAAAATCAGGATGTAAATCTTCATGAGATCCAATCCTTGAACGGAATTGGTCAATGGAGATCCCCATATTTACTTGTGTGCTTGAGCAAGCAACAACAACAATCCAACTAGCTAGAAACTCAGTTTATTAAAATAGATAACACTCTTGACAGTTCAAGGCAACAATAGTTTCTTTCAGTTTGTGACACTTTGAGACACTCGTGAGACATTTTGAGACACTCGTGAGACACTTTGAGACACCCTGAGACTCTTTGAAGCGCAACCCGCACAAATACATTCAAGCTGACAAATGTTGGCTTGCGAGAGTACAATGACTCCTTTCAATCTGACACAACCCGCACCGAAGGTCCAAGCCGATAAATGTTGGCTTGTGAAAGCGTAAAAGCTCCTGTGCAACCTGCACTGAACACAAGCCGCGTTTCAGCGTGTTGACTTACGTGAAAAAATCTTTTGTTATAGACACCTGAAGAAATAACGAAACAAACGCCTAAGATTATGAAAGAAAGAACACAAACCAGGTGTACAAACGTAATCGCCTTTCGTGAGAGCTTAATCGTGAAGCTCCCACAACAAAATTGAAAAGTTAAAGCACGCAAAGAACCCGTGAAAATATGAAATGACTTATCCTTACCTTGGAAACAAAAATTCCCAAGAAACAAACATGAAATTCCGAATAAGTTCTCCAAAACCCAACGACTGAGAAGAGAAATGGCCGCCGTACAATACACTATGAAAAAACGCCGACTGGAATCCGGTCTTCACGGCTCACTGAACGCAAATAGAAACCACGTGACAAGCACTTCTCTCTCGTGGACAAATAAATAAAGAAATAAATTCGCGGGCGTTGACAAAGTGTGGGAAATCCCACACAAAAAACTGTAGACAGATAAGCTTTATTAAATTTTCTCAAGGGTCCTTGACCGAAAGATGTAACCTACATTCATTCTCATTCGCCGTTTTTCTAAGGGTTGTTTAAAAAGTTTATCATTTTATACTACATGTTTCATGTTTCATGTTTCATGTTTCATGTTTCATGTTTCATGTTTCATGTTTCATGTTTCATGTTTCATGTTTCATGTTTGCATTTATATGTTGACCCAATTCTACAAACATTGTCATCTCCGTAAATATTCATGTGAGTTACAAACAATTTGACTTGACTTGACTTGAACAGACCTCATGTTATGACGCCCATCTTAAGTGGAATATTCTTGAAACAGATGTAATATATTATGTTATGTTATTGTCGTCAACTGAATTTATGGCTGTCAACATAAGACAAAGTCATTTGCACTTCATATCCCTCCAAAATGGTGGCTATTGTTTTTCAAGCCAAACGGTTGTGTTAGTGATCTACCCTTTCATGGAATCTTGATGCACTGTCACGGAAATCATCAACAGAATTGATTATCGACGGAACTGAGCGAAAGTAGTTTTAAAATGGAAACAGAAGTACTTCAGACCTTTCTAGTATAACCAAGTGAAAGGAATAATTTGCAATTCTGCGCCTAATTACTTAAAAATATTGCTCACAGTGACACACAGTATGCTTGGAATAACAAGGAATAACAGATTAATTTTGCACTGTCGCCATTTCCAACAGACTTGACAATTGTCATTAATATGACAAATATCAATTCATAATCAAAGCTCACCTCAAAAGATCGAGAAGCGAATCGAGACCACGATAAGGTCTCCAGAGAATTTCGTGGGTTCCACTAGGTTTGCTGCGTTCTCCCGGGCGTACAGAAAGGACCAAGACGATTCCAAGAAGCACAGCGATCAGCATAGTTCCCATGTAGTAAAGTACAGTTCGACGACCGATTCGTCCCATGGCTTTGGAGTCCAGCGTGGCCAAGGCGGTGATCAAACTTGTAACAATCAGCGGCAAGATCAGCAACTTCAGCATGTTCATGAAGAGCTCACCCGGAAATCTAATCAACATGATGGTAGTAGCTTTCTTTTCTGGGTCTTCGATTTCCATCACGCTCTTTCTTGCCCAAGAACCGGCAGTGAAGCTTATGATTACTCCCGAAATAAGGAGGTGGAGAAGCAGTCTTCTGCGAATAAAGTGCAAGAATTCACGGCAGCAAGAACGCAAACGTTTGCCCTCACACCTGCCCATGATTTATCAACTTTCCTTGCCGGCTTTCACTGTAATTGGAATTTATAAGATGAGTTCGCTACGATGTACAACCCAAGCCGTGGAAACTACACCAGACGGGATAAAGTGTTTGTAAATAGCGTGATTGTTTGGCGTCTCGATCAGTCTCGCCTGGGTTTACAGGAGTTTTCTGTCAGCTGGAACAAAGCGTTTGAGGCGTCGGGTCAAGCGAGTGCAATGTTTACGTACTCGGAACTGGACTCCATCCAGGGAATGTGGAAAGCGCTTAGGACTCTTCTCAAATTCCCTTCTTACAATTTACAGTCTAATAAACAATTAATTTTGCGCAGTTGTTATGAAGACCGAGAGATTTCTTGCTTTTCGGTTTTGTCAAACTTTTGAACATGAAATATGCGTACCGTATTTTAAATTTTTCACAAGCATTCCAATCGTGTTCATTTCACTAAACAATTTTGTGTCAGGATGGAAAAGAGAAAATTGTACACGCTCAGGTTGCTGTGGGACCAAAGTGCTGCAACTTTGTTCAAATTTTTTTTCTTTTTTTTCGGCTTTCACAACATTTTTTCTCAACGTAGCCCGTAGCCAGTGGAGCCTTACTCGCTAGAGATAACTTCGGGCCATCATTTCATGGAAGTTTCTTAGTGAAGGGATTGTTCTCAATGCACATCTAACAATTTAGCACCTTGTGGAAGCAAACACTGTAAATTGCGTCCACGCCTCAATAACGTAATAATGAATAGGGCATGGATTTGTTTACTACGGTCATCAATTGCAAAGACACTGGTCATGTATTGCTCCCACCTAAACGTGTCCCTAAACGTAAAATTGATTGGAATCTCAGAAATGGGAGCTATGATTTCACACTTCCCAGACTAAGGGCAGTCCCTCCTTATCAGCGAATTCCCTCGCGCAGCGAGTCAAAAAAAAAGGAAAAGAAAAAAGAAAAGACAGAGAGAAAGAGAGAAAAATCGGCCAAAAAAAACATTATATCAGCGAGTTTTGAGCTTTTTCAACAATGCACTGACGCAAGCAGTGCTAATGAGAAACAAGCGACCAATCACAATACGATACGTATTTTTTGTAATTGGCTGATCACAGGGTATCAGTGCAGTCCAGGCGGTGTGCGCACTCCGATTGCATTGCATTGTGGTAGCTCCATTTTCAATATGGCGGTGAAAGCAGCAGAATTCGGCAAACTTTTACTGAAAATTCCGTAAAAGTTAGACCGTTCCTTTTCCCTTTCACCATAAGTAAATGTACTTTGATTTATTTTGAATGTGTAAAAGTAGTTTTTGTACGTATTTGTCGCGTATTCTATGGTTCTCAAGGACAAACCCAAGCACTGTTTTTTAGTATGTAATTTGAGACCGGTTTTCGAGAAGGTCAAATTTGATGTACGTCTTAATTTGGAGCCTTTCAAAGATTTGGATGGCCGCTTTGATCCTTCTTCAACAGCTCTGACCAAACGCTCTCCAACGATAAATGTGTTTCTCGCAAGTTAAGTGCTAGTGTTTGAGACCGATTAAGGATGAGAAAAGGTCTCTTGTTGCGTTACACAGTGTTACAATTGCATACTCAATTGCGTTGTAAATCTACTTTCCTAAGTAAAGGCAAATTAACTGATCGCGAGTGTTGTATGGTAAATCTACTATCTTGATCAATGAATGAAGGACAATTGAATTATGGCAATGAAAGGAGTCACTTGACCAATGAATAACTCTACAATGCACACGGCGACACGCTTGGTAAGCCGGAAAGCAAGAGGCAGTCGATCGTTAATTAAAAGGTGTTGATAGGCTTGTGCGACTCCTGCCATTCGCTTGCGCTTTTAAATCTTCTGACCTGAAAGCTCAGCTGTTACTAGGATATCTTTTAATTACTTTCGTTTGCGAAGTGATGATAAGGATTAATTTTAAGGTGTCATTTCCCCACCGGAAAGTTCTTGAAGTTTGGCAAAGAAGGATGAGATTGTGTTACAAATAGTAATATTTTCATGTGCACGCGCTGTTTTTATTGTTTTGAAGTATACTGTCTCTCCCGCAGAAAATAACTCCAGAATTACGTTTCTCGAAGCCTTATTCTAGGTATTCTCAATACTTTCGGCATATTTGAAACTCTACACATTTTTATTAAACGTTGAGCGTGACGAATTAATCTTAGGAGGCGTAAGGCTTCTTCTTTCGCGAATCCCGTATTTACTCCTTTAAGTGTATGACTTGAAAAATAGGTCGTGTATTAGAAGGTCGCTGTCACTGTAATACGTTTGCATGTCAAGAGTCGATTCCTCGTTAAATAACTCGCGAATTTGATATTATTCACACGGCATTTATATTGAAGCTGAAAGCTGTTGGTTGTTGTATGAACTTTATTCTTACAAGTCTTGTGCAAGTAGATACAAAAACGATGCCAGGTAAACTGATATGAATTCGACGGTTCAAATCTGCTCGACTACGATAGCAACAAAAGTAAATTCACAACGTTACCACACGTGTAACTGCTGCCAAATGAATAGAATCTTGGGTAAGGCTGCAGTTTCGATTCTTTCTGAATCTCTTCAGTCGCCTCCTAACAATAAATTTGTCACGGACGAATAACAGGAGTTGCGCAGGACCGCAAACACTTTCGAAGGAGCGGCAACAGACAGTGAATCCCCATTACATTCCACGTTCATTCAGGCTATCTTGCTGCCACCAGAGATGTTCACTCGACCGCGACAGGATCCTAATGACTCGCTTTTTATTTTACGACCATGATGCAACGCAATCAGAGTGCGCACACCGGCTGAGTGCAGTCCAACTATTTGTCTACTTGAGGGCATGAGATGACTGCCTGAGAAAAACGAAGAACAGACACTGCCCTTTAGTTGGCACCTTTGTCAGAAGAGAATAATGAATCGTCATTAATCGTCACGTTTTCAGAAGGATGTCTCGATGCCCATTGGGAATCGTACAATTGTGTTTCTCTTAATTTTTGTGGCTATACCAGTATATCCTCGGGCCGAATTATCAGAATAAACTAGGTCCTGTTGAGCACCATTGGTTTGAAGGTAAGAGCCATCAGTTTGTTTGCGTGACGAATATTTTTAATCTGAGGGAGAATTTTGGACTATTTCTCAAGTTATTGATTGGAAGAACCCATCGATAAATCTTCATTTTCTTCGCTTTCCTCTCTGAAATCTCTGAAATCATGCCAGCAACTTAACTCCATACGCCATTTTCTTCAATCTTTTGAAATAATTCTAGTGGACAACATGTTACCGGCGTAATTCGTTAAAAATGTTATAGATAAAAAAAATGCACATCATACATTTGCTTCTTTTTGTCTTGTCAGGCACAAACCCAGTTCAGTGTACAGAGGATGTTGCAGATGACGTTCTGGTTTAGAGTAAGAAGATGAAACAAAATTTGGTTCCGCATGGTCACTTTTTGTGAAAAACTCAGTTACGGAACATTTTACAAACACTTAGTTAACTTTAAATCAAACCGTTGACAAACTCATGGTAATGATAATCATACATACATATAATCGTGCGGGCCAAAGGAACGACACGGTGTGCAAACTTTCTAGTGTATTTTTTCTTCTTGTTTATATAAATTTCTCGCCGGATAACGCCGGATAAACTTGGTTGACCACATATACCGAAAAAAAAAATGCAAATACATATTTTTTTTGTATAAATTAGCCACACTACACAGGAGTGAATAAATCAAGACAATGACGTCATATTAAGTCACTGGAAGCCAGTAGGTCGATGTAGCTAATGAAAGTCTTGATAATTTCGTTTTCGGGAACTTTACTGAACAGGATCACATCTCTGCAATCCTACGATCTTGTTGTCGACACATACTATACTGGCGCAGAATTCAGTGTTTAAACCTCTTAAGTCATATTTTAAGCATAAATTGAGATAACGATGCCAATTCACATTCAGTTTATTATTAAAACCCTTCGAGCAATATGTGGAACATGTTTCGTTGGTGGTTAAAATGGAAAGCATCCAATATACTTCAGAGTCTTATTTAAAACTGGATATACTTAATTCCGGCCAGAACTTTCCAAAAAATATTTTTGGCTTGGTAAACGAATTATATTGCCATTACGACACTGTCCATATTGCCGTGTTTAATTTCCGTCAACACAGGTTTAGTAGGTTATGGAATTCTTTCTATCTGTGAATTTTATATTGTTCTTAGAGAAGGACACTTTACCCTAACTTCACTTACGCCAACTACAATTAATAGCGAAAAACTCACCGAAAGAAACAAACACATCAGTCACGGACGCTGTCTTTTGGTTGCTTTATGTGACTTTCTGTAGATAAGATTCGGGGATTCCCCTTCAAACCACAAGTTTCCGGTTTAATATTCCCAAATGCAAAACTCTTAGAGATATTGGCATATATGAGGGTGCCTTGAACCCCTCCTTGTTTCGCAGACGGAGACTGAATCCTCTGACTATCCAGACCGTAACACATGTAAGTGAAGTGTATGTATGTGTTATGAGGAGCAGAGAAGGTACAAGAAAAACTATTGCATTTCGACAGTTAAGGATGTCGACCACACCAGCGAAAATCCCAGATTTAGAGCACTCCTAGAGTTCTAATTAGGCACTGCATTTGTTTCGAAGATCACAATATGCATTGCAGTCAAGTTTTTCAACCATAACTCGCTTCGTTTGGTTGAAAATCGCGTAGTGATATCCCGGGAACCTCTCTATAGTTAAAAGCGACTAAAGTAGGTTTTCAATTATTAATTAATCGTCGTCTGCGTCGTCCATACTTTAATTCCCGGAAATTGGGTTGTGCCTCGACTCATTGGAATCTCGATCAGGTTTTGTTATTTAATTACTTCTTTTAGGTATCTCACCCTTGTTCACACATAACACTGCTCTAACCGACTGGGCTGAAAACGGTGATTTTGCTCATGTTGTACCAGGAACTTTGAGATTTTGGTTGACAAAAAGAAACTCCTTAGTGGAATTTAAGTTAATTGGCGATAAATACGTGAGATCTGAAATCGAAGACGGACATCAAGTCGTTTTTTACATTTGTCCGTGGAGATGGCAACAGATATGGATACAAAAATGTGGTCCATCATTAATATATTTGATTTAGCACATGTTTATTGATTTTTCTGTATCTATGAATAGTTGATGTCAAA